AATTAAGTACAGTTGGAGTGTTATTTAATCTGGTTTAAATTAAAATAAATCAGTAACTTGATGAAAGAGGCTGCAATAAAAATAGAGAACGATGGAAGAAATATCAAAGACATAGCCTCTATGAATTGTATGTGGTGGTCAGAGAAAAGGCAGATATGAGCGTAGGACTTGGAACCTGAATGGCTGAAAGAGCAGTGGTGCCATTAATAAAAGTTTGGAAGCAAAGAATATGCTTGAGGGGTACAGATGATCAGGCTCATTTTAGATGCACTGAATTAATGATGCTGGGAGAATATCCACGTTTATCAGAAATAGAGGCTGAACTACTGTGAGAAGTATTTAGGAATGTCATTTGTAGCATTCCTAGTTGCCAAATAAAAGTACATAGCTAATGCAAATTAACTGAGGGAATGGTGGAGAAGAAAATTGGGAGACATGGGAAGAGGATTGCAGAAGACTGGCCTCTCCCATCGCTGTGCAGATGATGCTCTTCCTCTGCCTATTTGAAGTACTCTTGGAAAATCACCTGCTTAAAATCTAAATCTCAGCTCAAGTATCATCTCTTCCATGCAGCACTCCTGCCATAGTTGGCAGTCAAAATTACTCAGCCAAAAAAATACATACACACACACACACACACACATTCATATTTCCTAAGTTAACTAGTAGAATAACTAAGTTAGTCTATCCTCCAAGTAGACGAAGGTTTTACAGAAGAAGGAACCATATGATTTCATTTTTGTATCCTCAACTCTAAATTGAGTCAAGACTACAAGAGACTCTAAATATTTATTGAGTAATAAAAGAAGTTAGGGAGGAAACCAGAGCTCACAACTGCCAATAAAGTCTTATATGAATACTCAATAATAATTGTTGATGTACAGTTTTTAGAAAGTGAATATACATAGTTCTCAAAAATGCTAATAAAGACACACGTAGTGTACATATACACACAGGTTTTTGTAGTTAAAAGCAGAGCTCAATTTCACAGAATCCACTAAAATGTCAAATTTGTGTTTGCTGTTGTTTTATCATAGAAATGTCTTTCTTTAACTCTCCTGTGTTTAGGAAGAGTGGATGAATCCAATGACTCAGTAGTTTGCTATAACAATACACTAATATAAAATAAGAAAGTCCTATTATTAAAAAATTAAAACAACTTTTATTTAATTAACCTGGCACAGAGAAATCAGATACAAAGCACTTGCATTGCCAATACATTTAGTGGTGAAGTTGCTCTTTCTGAAAAGCCATGCATCCTCTATAAACAAAGGAAAACTGATGCTCAGACAGAATTGGGGACTCTATCATCAATATACTTATTGATTTGTGAGGAGACATCTAAGAACGTCAGCACTCTGAAGCAACTTAATTTATCAAGACCTGAGATTCTGTGGCCTTGGGCAGAAAACAAACACACTGCACTACTATCTTGAAGTATCTCAAGATGGGGTCTCCAGGGGTTCTGTGGACAGAACTGTTTATTTTCTTTCATTTATTTATTTATTAGCATATAATAGTTGTATAGGGGGATAGATTGTGATATTTACATGTACTTAAAATACATCTTAGCTGGATTTAACCCCTCCATCATTCTCCCTCTTCCTCCTTCACCCCCTTCTTAGAACAATTTCAACAGGTTTCCTTCCTTCACTTTCATATATGAATACAAAATGCATCCATTAATATATACCTTCACTTCACTTTTCCAATGCCTCCTCCCCTAGCATTGGTACCCACCCCTGAAAAAAGATTTATTTTTCCTTCCTGCCCTTCATTTTTTAAAATTAAGTATATATTGATAGTCCAAGGAGTTTCACCTTGGTACTTCAAGTCTGTATATACCGTGATTTTGTCAAATTAGCCCACTCCCCTCCGTTACTTCCTCATTCTCTATCACCATGCTCCCCTAATATTCAGTGGCTTACTGGACAGTGCATTATATTACATTCATATATAAATGTGTTGCAGAACTGTTTATTTTCAATTTATTTTGCTTTCAATTTGATTTCAATTCAATTCAGAAGGTCAGCATGGGTGCCTGTATTTGTCATTGCTGGACATGTGGCTGCCTGCTTCATATGATCTATCAATTCCTCCATCTTCCTGGTATTTCAGTAGCAAATGACCCATTTTAGGTTTAGGATTTGACTCCTAACAGTGTTCTTCAATTTTCTGTTTTCCATGTCCAGACTCTCAGTTTTGAAGTTATAGCTGAGAGTCCTGTAGGGATTATTCTACATGCTTAACACCTTCTTGTTACTTTGCTTATTCTGGTCACTTAATACAAAGATAGGTATGGCTTGACATCTGCTTTAGGCCAAAACTTATAGGTAATTCTCTCAGTTAACTCTTAAGCATTTGCTATGTTCTACACACCATTCTCTCTCTCTCTCTCTTTCTCTCTCTGTCCTTCCCTCCCTCCCTCCTTCTCTCTCTCCTGGATAGTTCATGCTGGCCTTGAACTCATGATCCGATCATCCTCCTTCACCTTTCCTCGTGCTGGAATCAAAGGCATGTGCCACCACACGGCTAATCACTTGACAGGATGTCCAATTATTCTTTATAAAACCCCATGAGACAAGAATGATTATTTTATTCCTAATGCTTGAATGAGAAAATGGGGCACAGAGAAGGGACAGTACACACAGCTAGGAAGAGGTGAAGGTAGGCAGGCATTGAAGACATACAGTCATCTCCAGCACCCACAACATGGCTTCCTACAAATGAAGAATTATGTTGAGAATGAACTGGCAAATATTACAAAGGAAATATACTCTGGAGCTAAAGGGAGGCAGGCCAGGTCCTTCAGGGACACTTCCAAAAGAAAAGAGGATGAACTTTTGACAATGAGGACTCTGGTTTGGGGAGAACTCTATACAGGAAGATCAGAAGTGACCATTTAAGCATCAGGGGTAAAGAAGAATTTTTTTCTCAATTTGGCCTTCTCCCAGGGCAAAGTATGAAGTTGTGAGAACATTAGAGGAGTGAGAGGGAGAAGAACGAAGAAACACAACCAAGGATTCATAGGGAACAATCAAAGAGGGAGTGAGTTTTCAGGGCCTATTGAATTTTGCAATTAGGTCTTCATTATTAATCACAAAAGCTATTCTATTCTCTTTGCCAAGCAAAGATCACCCACATTATCTCACTGAATCCTTGCAACCACTCTTGAAGTTCTGTGTTATTATCTGCAGAAGCGTTCCCAGGGACGCTAAGGGCAAAATCCCAACCGCAGTGAGTTGAGAAGTGACTGAGTGGGGGGAATGTACCCTGCATTTGGGATAAATAAGGATTGGGCCATTACTAACAGCCAGTGTGCCAGTCACTGCAACACTGCTTTTTAATGTCATACAAACAAAACTCTAAACGAAATGTGTTGGTTTTCACCAATAAAGAAGAAACTGAGATTTTGAAGGCTCAGTGTGACCCCTGAGCCTGTCTTTTCAATAAAAGCCTATGTTCCATAGAGGTAACAGGGCTACAAGGATCACTGACCAAAGGTTTTACTGCACCTGGCCAGGAGCTGTACTAAAAGCATGTACACAGATTGTCCATTGAAACTTTACTTGCTATTTTCATCTTTAATAGTTGCTGATCAAGGGCCTGAGCCCAAAAGTCCAAAAGTCAGGCTCCCTGGATTGATGCTCAGCTCCACCATCCCAATGTTTCCTTTTGCCTCAGTTTTTTAGTGTGAGCTTTGTCTTAAAAATTGTTTGAAAACAGTACATGTGAGTGCCCAGGGTATGACACCTGTAGGGGGGGATAGTAAAATGTTGGCTATTAGTTCAATCTCCACTTTATAGCTCAGAGAAGAGAATGGGCAGTGGCTCAGTAGTGACTCTAAGAGCCTGCTCTGCTCTGTGATCTTCCAGAGCCCATGTTTCACCACAGCTGCAAGCAAAGCGAGGGGGCGGGAGCTGTCAGCGGTGGTAGTGGGCTTTGCCTGCGTTAGCTTGTTTATTTATTTGTTGTTAACAAACAAATACGTGGGATAAACTTTTTATCCTAAGAAGAGGGTGAAGATACGGAAGAGCTGGATCTATGATGTGTAAGCTCCCAGGATGGCAGGTAGTCATGGCAAGGAGGCACAGGTGTCTGGGTCCTCAGCTGTCATCAGAGGCCCAGGAGAAGAAGCAAAGATGGTGTGCACGCTGTGATTTTGCTTGGAATGAGAAGACACAAAAACCCAGGAAGAAACTGTTCTATTTGCCTCTGCCTTCTTGCAAGGAAGCATGTAGCTACTGTTCTTGGAGATTAAATCCCTCCTACTCTTTCTTTCTTCCTCGATCTTCTTTCGCCCTCCCCTCCCTAGCCACCCCCAACTCTACTCTCTCCCTCCCCCTACTGGCTCTCTGGTTACTTCCCTCCTCGCTTCTTCCCAGACCACAGCCTGGTCCTGGCTGTACAGATCAGCCAAAGGAAGAAGGAACGAAGTCAGAGTTAGAGTCTCTCTCTCTCTCTCTCTCTCTCTCTCTCTCTCTCTCTCTCTCTCACACACACACACACACACACCACACACGCACACGCACACACACTCCACGTACATTCAAAACTCGGACTGGTCGACTCCTCCAATCTGCCAAAGACCAACGAGCACCCTCCAGACCGCTGCGCGCACCCCGGCTTCCGCATGCACCTCGTCCCCAGCGCGGCCGTTGCAGCCGTGTGTTCCCGAAAATAAAGTGGGGAGGGAGGGTAGAGACAGCTCGTGAAAACACCCAGGCCACACACGCCGAGACCTCCATCTCTTTCTCCGCGTGGCAGTGGAGGCGGCGTCCGCAGCACCCTGTGCGGGTGAGGTCCGCGCGGTGCCCAGGAAGAGCCCACCTGCCGCTCCGCGCTCGGCCCGCGCAGAAAGCGGGTTTCGTCGCTTTCCCATTCCAGCGGTGCCATCTTCGTAGCTGCAGTTCGAGCCTCAGCTCCATCGTCAGCCCCTCGCGCCTTCAGAGTATTCCAAGACGACCCAAGCCGCGGACGCGCGACACCGGGACCTCGCCATGGCTGGGGCGCGCAGTCTGCTCTGTCTGTGGCTGGGCTGCTTCTGCGTGAGCCTGGCTCACGGAGAGAGACCCAAACAGCATTTCCCCAAGTTCCACAGAGCTGTGCCAGACGACCGCACGGCAGGTGGTGGCCCGAGTTCCGAGCTGCAGCCGCATGACAAGGTGTCCGAGCACATGCTGCGACTTTATGACAGGTACAGCGGCAGTGGCAGGGTCCAGGAGGCACGGACGCCAGGCTCCAGGGAACAGGGATCCCAGACCCCGAGCCCGCAGCCCCTGCGCGAAGGTAACACAGTCCGCAGCTTCCGAGCCGGAGCAGCAGGTGAGTGCGCGAGGTGAGACCCGGTCCTGCGAACCTCTCAAGCTTTCGCCCAGGACCCCCGCCGCTTCCTGGGCTTTCCACGCCCTCCGCAGCTGCCCTCCGAGCCCCTCAGTCCCTTCACGCCCGGTGTTTGTCCAGCTGCGTTCCAAATAAGCTCAGTTTTAGGGTCCCAAGTGAGAGAAAGCGCGGAGCGGTGGCAGGGGGGTAGCTGCAGGAACTGTGTAGAAAAAGGAAAGGGGCGACATCCTATGCCCAGCGGATCTCTTCTCTGGGTGTCACGCACCTCCAAGGGACCGATTCCTAAATCGGTCAGCGGAAATTCCCGTGGGCTGAGTTTTAGTTATGTTTATCCAGAGACCGATGCCATTTTATGCCAACGCCAGGGCCCAGAGAGAAAAGCACACTTGAACTAGAAGCTTTTTGGACAGTCGCTTCTCTCGCCCGCTCCTAACTCGCGCCCTCTGTGTTACTCTATTTGACGCTTTCTACTTGATAGTGTCTTGGTGGCAAGCACACAAACAAAACCAGGTGCTTGGATGTTTAAGCCCATCTGGGCAAATAGGGGATTGTACCATCCATCCTGGCGGGAGGGGTGCGGAGAATTGGGGGAGGTGCGGAAGCCAGTGGATGTAAACATCTCTTGGCATCTGCGATGAAAATTTGCTCATCCAATTTTTTTCAACACAGACCACTGCAGACTGAAATTCATGGCTTAACAAGGTTTCTCCTAGCCCCTATGGTGGTGAAGGGAATAATTTATGCGAACAACCTCCCTCACTTGTGCTAACAGCTTGAGGGAAAGTTTCCTGGATGCTAACTCTGTTTCTTTGCTTTGAGTGTTTTGTTCACTACATTCCTGGTAAAGGGAAATGTAACTGCAAAGCCTGACTTCAGTAGACCCTTGTAAAACAGCCAAGACTCTCCAAGGAAGGGGCTATGCATCAGTGCTCCATCAATTCTGTCAAAATCACTAGAATGAAATTTCCCCAAACTTTGATATTTAGGACTCCTGGAAAAAAGGGAAACGAAAGCATCCATCAAGGAAAGCCCTAGCAGGATACTGTGAATACACTCTAGAGCTCACAGGCATGATGACATTTACAATAAATGTGAATTATGCTTTCTAATGCAGAAGTCTTTAGCCAGAGTCTGAGTTGAACCAGATTTCACTTTCTTCTTAGAACCATAGGCATGACGTGTAAAGAGCTCACCTCCACTAAGGAAACAGAAACCTGCCCTGCTTTATCCACAGCATTCCAGCCACTTGACCAGGCTGCCAGACAGCCAACCACACCAGTGACCTATCTGTTTACTTAAGTGTGTCTCTGAGGACAGAGCTCAATGAAAGAGCAATGTAGGACTCACAGTGATTAGAAGACAGGGCAAGACAGGTGGCAATAATGAACCCATTCTTAACCTTTATACTCATTTTCTTGCTTATGTTCCTAGGGAATCCTTGAGGCATTCAAGAGACAAACAGTATTTTTGTATCAACAAGTTTCATTTCTAGTATAAATCACAGGTTTTGGTGACAGAATTTGATTTTGTTTTATTCACACGCATCATACAGCTTTTTTATTTAAGCTGAGGGAAACTTGTATTTGGATTTCAATAACTCAGGCAACATGTACTCTGTGGCTTCTACTTATTCCACATACATTATAATTTTAGTGTCTTTTATCAGCCCCACTGTAGTCTTATACCATCAAATGATAAACCCTGATACAGAGACCAGACATCAGACATTCCCTTGAAATGATAAATTCCAGCTTGAAGTATATATACAAGGCTGTGTGCCCTGATAAGAAAGTAATCCCTTTGGCATCCTAGAGACTGTCTTAATGACTTATTCATCAAAGTAGACACTGAGTTTTGTGGAAACTTAAGTGTCATGTTACCTTATTGGAGACTCCTGGAGAGGTGGCTCAAGTTGGACCCCTTCCAAGAGTGTTTAGTTACCAACGCACTGAAAAGACTTTATTATAAGGCAGCTCTGGCTATAATAAGGCAAGACTCCAGGAAGGTGCTAAGGTTTTCATGTGTGTCTCTCTCACTTTATCCATATCAGTATGTCCATAACACCCTTCACATGATCTGTGTTCTGATATAGGTAGAAGATGCTATTTGCACTGACAAATTAGATATGTATTCCAATTCAAAGTGTTTAAGTTTTGCAACAAAAGGGTTTCTGTGTATCAAGGATGTACAGGTTTTATGGACGGTCAGGTGGTATGCTGTATAGATGAAGTGGCTGCTGATCCAGCCCACTTTCCTAGTGCTAATTCAGGCTGAGTTATAGCCTTAGAGACCTGTTTGGTCTTTGGAACATACCTGGTTAAAATTATTTATTGTTTTAAACCTAGAATATCTTTGGTTGAAATTTAGCTGCTGTGGTCTCCCTCTGATTACTTTCTACTTAAACCATTACTTGATGGTGGGTGGCATCCATCCTAAACACACTTTCTGCTAACCCCTTTTCTCCTCCCTCAACTCTAGGCAGTTAGTGTGCCAAAACCATAAGTTTGGAGTTCTTATAAGCTTTTTTGTGATGTGTAAGTGTTTACATAAAAATGGGTTTTATCCTTTCTTTTGTAAAAGGTGATTTACAAAATCCTTTCTTTTGGAAAAGGTGATTTACAGAGAAGTTCAAACACACCATCAGGAGGGAAGATACAAGAATGTGAAATTAGCTTTTATTTTAATTTTGATTTAAATTTGCCCTTGGATATTATGAGATAAAAGAATATTTTGCGTCAGGTTTTCTTCTTTGTTAATCCTTCAAGATAGGTAATTGATGTTCATTACTTTCTCATTATTTCCATAGTCCCTTAATCTTATTTTTCTTGATTGTAAATGTAATTAATCTCTTCAAATTGAAAGCAATTAAAGCATACATTCTCTTATTAGGAGACTACCCCTACTTATAACATGCAGCTACAAAAAGATTATACTTCAGTGGGTACGTGTTACCTTTAAAAAAATCACACATATCTCATGAATTAAAGTAAACAATATTGGGGTAATCCAGACATGCCAGTGAATATTTTGGCCTCAGTGAGGAAGGAAAGGAATATTTTATCCTAACAGGAACAAACAAAAACTTTAAAAGTAAAGAATTTTGATTTTGACGTTTCAGAAATGCAAGGCTAAAATATAAGGTTTTAGGGGAAGTGGTATAAAATTAAAGACTGAATGATCACCACTCAAATAGGAGCCATTTCTGTAAAATACACAGACCAGTGGGAAAGCACCATTTTTGATGGGTTTGATGGAAGGGATTATAACAACATTTTTATTTTTTTTTTTCAAGTTTTTACTTTTATTTTTTATTTTTGTGCTGCATGGGGAGACATTATGGCATTTACAAAAGTTCTTACAATGTATCAAATATATCATAGTTCAATTTACCAATCATTCTTCTTTATCCTCCTTCCCCCAATTCCTAGAATAGTTTCAACAGGTCTCATTTTTCCATTTACATACATGTGTACACAGTATTTGCACCATATTCTCCTTCCTACACCCTTTCCTTGTCTACTCCCCCCTCCCACTGGTACCAACCTCCCAACAGGACCTGTTCTGCCTTCCTGTTCTCCGATTTACAATAATATTTTTTAAACATAGTTATCTTGACATGCTGAGCATTTAGAAACTAGGCTTGAAACTAAAAAGTACTTGGATTATATGTTGCTTTTATTTAAAGGACAATAATACATCTGGAGAAGAGTCTGGATATGCAGCTGCTTTGAATTACACACTACTTTGAATACATGATAGCCTTTAATGAAGTTTTTACTGTAATAGGCAAGACAGTTTTACAATCTGTGACATTTAAAAATCCATAATACCATGAATTCTTGATTATCCATGCTGAATGGAAAGGAGAAAGAGAATGAATTATATTTAAAAATTCAAATTTAGCTCTGTAATATCGTTAGACACATTGAAAGAGACCAAGAAACCATGAAGGTCAATGTAAAAACCCTTAAGTAGATTATTCATTCAAGCAGATCACTCACTCAATATTTATAAATTAAAATACATGCAAAATTAAGAAGGAATTAGAGGGTTACATACATAGTGGAAGTTCATAAGTACTTGATTGAACAGGATCAGATTTTCTTTTCCTTAAATAGGAACATGAATGTCAAATCTCCTTCTGAGTATTCTTTGTATTTTATTATAGAATTTTGTATCTGGAAGAAACATTGAAGGAAATGAGTCCAACCACTTCCTTTCATAGTAAAAGAAATGGGCATTTAATAATATTTGCCAATTTTTCAAATATCCTAAGCTAATTGCAAAACCTACTATTTCTAATGGCTTGATCTCATTTTCTAGGGAAAATTTCACAAAAATGGATCTTTAGAGGATGTTAACAGGTGTTACATAAAATTGGGGTCCATGGTCAAATGAGTTTGGAAAGAGTGACCACTTTTCTTTGCTGTGGAGCCTTTCAAGGTCTTTAAATGCTGAGTCCATTAAGAGGAGCACACTTTCTCCTGGAGAGACCATTTTAGAGGACTGTTCTAAAATGTCTAGTTGGGAAAACACTGGGTTATAACCATCCTGACTTGGCAAGAAGGAAGATAGGCAAAATATGGTGAATACCATAACTAAAAACTATCTCAGTTCTCATTTTTCATTTGCTACCTATCTCAGAACATACACTTACACTGTTAGTTTTTGGACTGTGTCCAGTTGGCATTCTTCCTGTTTTTATGTTATAAACTTCTCTAAATATAATTTTAGAGTCTCCCTATCATTACATTTTGTTTTTCCTTTTTCTTTATGAGTTCTCCTTTATTGTTTTCTTCTATACAGTTAATATTGATTAGTTTATAGTAGGTATAGTGTTCTAGAAAGAAAAGTTATGTTATTTGTGGAAAAAGACACCAGAACTCAAACATCACTTTGTTAAATGTTCTGTCACCATTCAAACACTGATAAAGGACACATTTACACAAGACATCTATCAAATCCTTAATTTAATGCCCAGT